CGAGTCATCGCGACTCCGTTGCTGAGGTGGTGGCTCCCGCCCTGCCACCTGCCCTCGGAAATCAAGAGACGTCTGCGTCCATTGTTTGACCGACCGCAACTCTTGTAGTTCCTGCTGCGCATCTTGACCGTCCGGGTTCTCATCCTCGCACACCTTGATCATGCCGCGTCCATCCTTGTCGAGGAGTCTCTGCCCATTGAGATCGATGGCGTCCTCGTGCTTGATGTCCGCCACGTCATCTTCGTAATCGCTCTCATCCTCGCTGACGTTCTCGCTCTTCGCAAGACGCTCGTCGTCGTCGTCGTCTTCCTCCTCCTGCTGCTCCACCTTTTGCTGCCCAAACCGGGCCAGCGCCGCCGCGGCACGCAGCTCCCTGCCCCTCGCACTGCCAGCAACCCTCGGCTTGGCGGCCGTCTTCCTGCCCTTCTCGAGCTCGCTCTTGACGGCCTCGTCGGCGCCGAGTGCGACGCCGTTGGCGCCAAACTTTTTCAGGATGCGCCTCTCCTTCTGCTCCCGGTACGACAGCCGCGGCTGCTTGGCCTTGCGCTTGCGGCGGCCGCGCGACCGGAAGGTGCCGCCGCAGAGGTGCTCCGGCAGGCCCTCGCCCAGCGGCGCCGTGTCGCCGGCCCAGTCGCCCGACGCGAGCAGCGTACCGCGGCCCCAGAGGCCGTCGCCCGTGTAGCCGCGTGACCAGAGGGCGCGCATGCTGTCGGCGTAGGCGTTGCGGACGGCCCAGAAGGCGCGCGAGTGGTTCATCTGTTTGCAGTGTGCGAGTCTTTTTGTTGCGAGGCGGTGTCAGTGGCTGTTGAAAGGGGATGGGTAGAAAGGAAGGCGGATGCATGAGGATTATGGGTGTGAATAGGGGACGGAGACTCACTCGTGCATCATGACCCATCTGGACGTACTCAAACGGCAGCCAGCGGCCGGCGCGGGTCTTGAGAACGAGCTGGATGACCTCGCCGGCGTTGAAGTTGCGGCCCACAAATTCGCGGTTCGGCTCGTACTCCTCGAGAGACATGACGGAGAGGGAGTGATCCTTCATGATGGGGACTGTCGATGCCGTCAGAAAGGGAGGGGCTTCACACGGGATGGGCGAGCTTGGACGTACGACATTGTGCAGCGATGCGTTCGAGAAACTCTCGAGCAATCTTCTCGTTGGGGCCCGGGAGGGGCTTGATGAAGATGATGCGCTCATTGGGGTGTGACTTTTTGGCATTGATCCGCTGGATGCCGATGGGCATGTTGGCTATGGAGGGGAACGGATGCTGGATGTAAGTGAAGTCGACGAGTTGAGGGTGGAAGGAGTGTGTCGGGGTCAGTGCCTACGAAGGCAAGTGCAGCTGTACTGCTGCTGCCATTTGCCACAGTGCTGATGATTCACTGGGAAGTGGGGGACTGTCGCTGACGTGCACCTTCCGTAGGTCCACCGCAGGCTTGAACCTCGACAACCAGCGAGGGATGTGCTCGCTGAGACGGAGCACTCTACAGACAGAGGCCGACGATACGAATGAACCCAAACCCATATATTGGTCTTGTATACTCCATCCCTGGTCGGCGGGGTTCCTTGCCACGTCCTGGCAGAGCGACGAACACTTGGAACACGATGCATCGCCGACGGCGTGCAGAGCTCATGCAGCCACGTCTCGTGTAAATGCTCCTACCAATCCTGGGGGCCATGCACCTTCAGAGTGTCATGCCTCACGAAAGAACACCAAAGACCCGATGCATACGCTACCTCCTCCTGGCGCCGCCCGCGGCAGCATCGCCCCTCTCGGCCAGCGACACGACCTCGGTGATGCCCGCCGCCTCCTGCTCCTCCTCCAGCGCGTTGATTTCCTCACGGCAATCCCACCACTTTTCCTCGCTGAGCTCGAATGCCTTGGCCTTGAGCTCCTTGATGGGGTACGACTCGGGCTGAATGTTCTTCCACCGAAGCTGCGTCATGAGGACCTCCTGCCACTCGTTGGACGTCCGCACGAAGAACTCGCGTCTCGTTTCGAAGGGCTTCTGAGGTCAGCACGATTCGAATGGTCACGGAGTGAGTGGACGGGGATGGGAAAACACGTACCCTGGGATGAGGAAGACCGTCGTCGACCGAAGCCGTGGCCTCCGTGTCGTCGTCATCTGGCACCGAGGTGGCCGCCGTCGTCTCAGAGCCGCCGACCGAGACCTCGTCTTCCTGCTTCTTCTTGCGCTTGCTGGGCGTGTGCATGTTCTTGGACGGCTCGTCATCGGCCATGTCGTCGTCCTCGTCGTCTTCCTCCGAGTCGTCCTCGTCGTCTTCGTCATCGTCGAAT